TGTCACTGTCCCTTCTTATGTGAATCTTTATGAGTGATAACTGCCTGATTACCTCCTTTCTGCAGATGCCTGGTTGCAAATCTCTCCATTTGATGGATGTTAGCAATTAAAATGCAAATTAAGAAGCGGCTCGCTGTGAAGTCTCTATTTATTCGGCATGGAAAACATTTACAATGGATCATTGGGTCACCGCGGCTTCAAAATTACCATAAGTGCAGTGTGCTTGTTCTTTGATCTGAGCAACGACTTCAACATTTCGTATGTGCGATGATTATTGACAAGAACGCCCAAGGAAGCGTGTTGTAGCCTCTTGCATATGGTAACAATCAACTGTTATATGCTTATCGTCTTAATCTAATTTACGTCAGCAAGTCCATGGCCTGATAAAATATGTCAAAGCTATGCATTACAACTTCACATATAGTTTTAGAAGGGTCAACCATTACAATTACTGATCAATCTAAAGATTTATTTACAAAATAATTTACTGGTTTCATTCAAATAAGCCTGAAGGTATATCTACTGAATTATAAAGACAGTGCTACATAAAATAGAGTTAGAAATGAGAGAAACAGCAATTTTCTTTAAACGGTTGCTGACAGTCTTACTATTTCTCTGTTTATTTTGTATTTATGCTCTACGTTATTTCATTCAAATTCAATGAGCGTTTATTTAAACGTCAAACACAAACTGGGAAAAACATCAGGGGAAGTAGGTCTAGCTGCCGTCGTTGTCCGCAATGCTGTAGGCCCTATTTATAAAGCAATTACTACTTCGGAATTCAGTTCTGAATGAAATATAATGTCTTAGTTTTCGCATATACTAATGTATGTTTGTCCCTCCAGGCTGAACCAGTTACTCGTCAGCATGAAGATTGTTAACTTCATCATGTAAGATGGAGAGAGCAATAATCACATTGTAATTATAACGAAGATGGCAACAGCCATAAATATCATCAATTCCCCGCACGGTCCGCGTGGTTAACACGGCCAGCCAATACGCCGGGGATTGAGACCCAATACCCCGTGTCTTTCCCGCTCGCTGCCCCAGTGCGAAGGAAGGGTCCCTTCTCACCGAACGGTATCATAAACAGTGCCCGTTATTATCATTATCATACACCGGTACCTGAACTGTAACAACACACACAGGCAATATTAACTCCATAGACATCTGTCCATAACTAATAGACTCGAACGGGCTCTATCACGGCTAAATCAACGGGGTAATGATGCGCAATATATTGACTCTTTCACTGGAGCGTTCTGGTTTTTGGCGGACTATATGCATTAGATGCCGGATCTTCACCGAGTAGATTCGGTCGAGTCTTTTCGCCGCTTCGGTCCAGTGCGTCACGTAGCGTAACTATCACGGGCAGTAATTGCCTACTTCATCCCCCCATAACGAATAATAATGTCAACTGTTTCCAAATGACTTTACTAAGGAGTCACAGATGGTTTCATGATGGTCACACTTCTGTACTAACGCCTCGGCCGGAGAATTGATGAGACACTCTCTCAAGTGTTACCGCGTGGTTAAAAAGAGACTTAACTAGTTTGTTTAATATGAGCGAGACATTAATAATGCCGGGTAGTCATCTATCTTTGTAGTATTACAGGAAAGTTGCTTGAACGTATCATTCTGCGCTATAAAGTCAAGCAAAATGGGCTGGCATGGAAAATTTTGAAAGTGACCGACACCCTAAAGCAGCAATGAAATTGAGTTCGAAATTACGAAGGCGCAATCTGATTCAGGCGCATGAATCGTCATTCGTGTTCATTTGATGTTTAGCAATTTGGCGGTGATTCTTATACTGAGTTTTAGCAAAATTATTATCTTTAGCATCTTTAAAGACGGTGAACAATAGTGAGTCAGCAGAATGCATTCCAGTCTCTTGTTCACTGAACTGTGTCGGTATTCGTCACACGTGTACAGAAAGAAATCATTGCAGAGACAAATAGGCCTAACTTATTATGCAAGAATAAGATAGTTCTTTTCCAAAAGGCCTAAACTGTATTATGATAAAAGAAGTACTTAACATATGTTACGGAACACAAGTTTTCAGGATTTTTTGAGAGTAAATTGTTTATGATTGCAATATTCACTTCAAGAAATTATAGGGAAGGTATAAAAGGCCAAAACGTACGTTAGTAATGTATATCGAAGGGAAAACCAACAATGTATAAAGATCCGAACTTCCAATGAACTATTCACTTCACCAAACCTCGGTCTATTTGCCAATTTCAATTAAGGGTCAGACCTTCGTTCCAATTTAAGTCGCAGACTAAGAGTATAAAGCTAATGTCGCGGTCTTAAAACTTTTTCCTGAGAAACATTTAATGTCGCGGAAATAGTCCTTTCCGCGAACTACAAACTGCGTCCCAGTATCGCTACAATCTGACCGACGCAGTGCCAAGAGGGTTAGACACGGCACGTCAATGCACAGGGCTAATTGTTTCTGATTCAAGGAACGATGTTGCTGTTGATTGCAGGAAACAGTTTGTGCACCAAGTTTAGTTTGCCAATCATTGACTAAACTAGTCAGGGAATTCAGATGGCTGTGAAATCCTTAGCAGGATGAAAAAGTGGTTTTGCAAGAGAAGCCCTTTTAAATTTGATAATTGTTCTGTACCTTGTTCTAGTCCCTCTAGGAAATATGGTAATGTTGATTGTTGTACAGTTGCTGATTTTTAAAATAGCAAACATTCACATGTCCTGACGATAACTACAGTGCGTAATTTCTATTAAGACATTACTAAGACATTATTGATGATTTCAAATAAGCCCAGGACATTTTGTGAGGAATTGGTGAGTTCTAGACGGCAAAGGCAAATGACAAGGCAAATGGCAGCTGGTTGTATTTGTTCTGATAAAAAATATCTACCAATACCTAAGTCAACATTGACGAAACGGATAGAAACTGTATTGTAAAAAATCGAGGCTTAATTGGGTAACCCAGTCTTAAGACAAAATCTGGTGATTCACAATTGAGGCTTAATTGGGTAACCGAGTCTTAAGACAAAATCTGGTGATTCACAATTCTTAATATCAAGAAACTGTTTTACGTTATATTTAGCTTTGTTTTTAAAGCAAAAGACTACACAAGAAAATGCTAGATTGCTACGAAGTAACCTACACCCCCCCCAAAAAGAAAAATCTACAAATCGACTGGATAGCATGAGAATACATCGACATGAAGTGAGACAGCATGGGGCTTAATTTCCAGTCCGTTGAAATTCGTTGTTACGTCGAAGTTTAACGTTTGCTGCTAGTTCATCTTAGTGCTAAGCCCACACTCTTGTAGGTTTCTGAAATTCTCGCTAGATCCGAACTTGGAAGCACAATAATTATTAGACAAATAGCTAAATTTAAACTTCCATTGGATGAAAAATACGTTTGGCGCAACACACCTGACAAATAAAACAATGATGGTCATTGGGAATGTTATTCCGAAATGAATAATGGACTGCATGTGATTCTAAAAAGCCTAACGTCACATATTTGCAATTTATTTTTTGTATAAGAGATACAATGATACTGCAACAATGATACTGCAGCAATGAAACTTTGGGGCTCGACAAACTGACCACATGCTTTTTGCCCCGACAAACGATGCTGGCGTCTTGCCGAGATGCTCCCACGTCACAGATACGGAATCTACGGCGGAGGCAAACGTGTATTTCTAAGAAAGGAAATTTCGTGAAGTCAAATTAAACAAATGTTATTAGGGTTTGATGACTATAAAAATGACTAATAATCGTGGAGGCAATAATTCTATGAAACAGGTGATGGTATTCAACAAAGATCATTTCAAGACTGTATTGCTGTCTACAATAGGGTTTTGTAACTGATGCTGCTTAAAGTTAAACAATCCTTTGTGTTTTTAATTCGATGACCTCATTTCGGATTGAGTAGCTGAAAGTCCACAAGAGGAAATCCAATTACGCTGCACAACGTACGACCAGATTTTTATTTCTTTTTTTTGGGGGGGGGTAGGATGGGTGTCGCCAATCTAGCCAAATAATTGTGTAGAATTACATAATTACACTTGGTCCTACCAAGCGAGAATATTTTGAGTGATTATTTGCATGAAATCAGGACAAATTTTGTAATAGCACTGAAGATAAAAACTCACGAATAGAAAAATCTAGACAATGCCCTGATCAAACAGCACAAAAGAGAGCAGAGTTCACAAAGTTCAATAAATGTATGAAAATCGTCCCTTGAAGTCTGCAATCGGGGTATAATTGAACATCTGTCGCTTTATCGGTACAGTATTGTACTATCAGGTTTTATTTAAACCCCTTCACGAGAATTTTCTTATAACGTGCCGATCGACAAAAGAGGTTTCTCTATGAAAGATTGAAACATGGAACGTTTTGGAAACGACCTCGTGTGATTTGTGTTTCCGCACAACGCCAAGACAAGCCTGAGACCTAGGATGCTGGGATATTCACAACCGAAAACATCCAGTCAGAAGCCCTGGATCATTTCGTCAATTTGATAATGACGAAAGAAAGATTTCAGCTACGTATAGTAATTTCAAATCATTTCAATTCCAAAAAATATAATTATGAATTGTACGTCATTTTATTTGTATTTGTTTGTAGCGCATGATGTCTTCGTAAGGTTTACGAAAAAGCACGCGAATGAAATTCAACGACTCGAAGAATATAAAGTTAAAAAAATCAATGGAGAAACTTTGTCTTGTAACAGAACGCGTATCTGCTTTGCTAATTCACTGCAATTCTATGTAATACAGGGAAAGACGAACTACAGTTCAAAAAAGGCATTATATCTTGGTATCTCTTTAGCATGCATGTATTAATGATTTTAGCAGACAAACACGGCTTTACACATCTTTGTCCACCACTGCAATAATAAATGGAAATTCCTCTCAGCTTAAAATTTAATGTCCAACTGAATTTAATTCATTTGTGACTTTCGTAAATTGCTCATAGGATGTATTGTATAATTGATCATTCAAACAGTAAGACTCTTACCAGAAGATGGTCTATCTGAGTACCGAGTACAATAAACCCAGGCTGGCCACTGATCTTGTTTCAATCCCTTCTCGTTCACTACTTCTCCTTTCCTCACTTTCCCAGTAGTTTTGGTTTGCTTAATCTCGTTATTATCGTCTCTTTTGCCTCCATCTTCTTCTCCTTCTTCTTCCTCCTCGTAAGTGCATCGTCCGAAGTCCGGACGGAGGATGTTGTCGATAAAGAAATTGGTGAACTTAGTCCGAATAGACAGATCGCTAGCCGACTCGTGTCCGCTGTCATCGTCGGCACTGCTGGCGCGCTTCTCGGCCTCACTGTCTTTCGACATGGCAGCTCCGATCATTGGTTCTCGGAGTCTATCCCCATGCAGGTATTATGACTTCACGGCAACCTTCAGAGTTTCTTTTAGTCACAAAGTGGCAGCTACGTTTATCAAGAGTCAGGGTCGGCTCGACTGAGACTTAAGTGGATGGGCAGAGCATATAGGCTTAGTTGTTAATCCAAATCGTTTGAGCACAGTGATCACCAACTTTGGTTACTTCCTTCGCACGTTTCAGTGATGCATTACCTGCTGGGTCAGTAGCCGATAACGTTGCTTACAAATATGAATGTAGACCGATGACCAACTTAAGATCAACTGACGTTTACTTTTATTATCGTTTCTTGTTTTCCCCAGAAAGTTTTATCTCGGAGATTCACGTGCTAAGTACACTTCTAACGTCATTTATCCCTAGCTATACCGTAATACCACTTGACGCTGCACATCCGTAAAACTCCACCTTTGTTGACGTTTTGCCGAGTTGTTTTCCAGTAAACAAAACAAAAACTACAAAATTGAACTCTGGATATGTCAATCAAGGAGGAGCGAGTTGATATTTATGATTTTTGTCACAGGTCAGAAATAGGTCTTTCACGAAGGGTCTCTTGCTAAGTGCACAATGGTCACTACCACGAACCTGCTGTTACGAGTCTTTCCTTGTTTTCGATCTAAACGTCAGATAGACTACAGAGACATAAGAACAGAAAAATCACCAGTTTGTCCATGGCAAAAATAATCCAGACGGTGTGATGCGGCGTCGCCTGCGGCCGACCAGTCTTAACACCCCGCAGTGTTACCTCTCAATGCAGTACTTTGTACGGCACGAGCATCCGGGCGATCTTTGAGCGTGACTTGCTATTATTGTGATCGCGTGTGTGCAGGAGTGACTTCGGCGGTTTAAGTTGCTAGCGTTGGTGCGATTCGAGGACAGTGAATGCTGTTTGGAAACTTGGTGTCACGTGGCTGGATCGGTGCCTCTTAACGCAGCCTTGAATGAGGGGCATCAAATTGTTAGTTATTATATACAGTACCTTCGTATAACCATCACAAAACAGTACGCCGGGTCATTAGATATCTGAAATTCAGCAGAGTTCCCTTGCGCCCAAAAATATTGTATATGCTCAAACGGACAAGGTGAACAAATCATAACGAAATACTATTTGTTACAAATGTTACGGACTGAATTTCCGTAATAATAATCTTTGGTTGCGTTACAAAATCTGTAGCGCAGTATTATTTAGAAGCGTGCCGTATGATTGCAGGTTAGTCCATGTTCAAAAGAGATCTTTTGTGATATGCTGCAAAAATAATAGTTATGTTTGTTGTTTTGCTCGTTGTTTTGAAGCAAGGCTGTGTAAATGAGTAACTAGAAAACGATGTATTGATTTGTCCCTCAAACAACAGAATCACTCTTTGCTAACAATTTTAACTTAGCATTCTCGATTATTTGTGTTGGTTGAACTACACCACAGAAAAATACTAAGACGATTTTTTTTCACATTAAGATTGAAGGAAAGGTCAAGTTAGCATTGTAATTACGAACTGCCAATTATTTAGGATTTAAACATTTTCCTAAAAAATACCAGTCCGATCAACGATACACACATCAACAGCTGAAATGTAAACGGGAAGAGTTTTGCGAAACAAATGAAAGCGACTGGTGGAGCAACTGTTTGCCTGTCATTACAATGAATTCCCACTTGGCCCGTTCGTCACTTTTTTGTTTCGTTGAAATTTCGGAGTCTGCACTTTCGACGGAGCTAAAGGTCGCTACAGATTAATCAATGTCCACTGCACTTGTACTTTGTTTCAACCTGATATAAAATCGCCAGTGCAAAGAGGAAGTGAAGATTTGTACCTCGATCTTCTCCTAAATTAACGAGTTCTAAAAACACTTGTTTGGCATCGTCAAGTGTTAACGTATTGCAATAGTTCTCTGAAAAAAAATAAAAGTCAAGACACGGGTCACTCTTTTTTAAATAGCACAACAGGGTGACGAAGATTGGTGTCGATGTTGTAAATTATATCGAAAACTAAAATAAAAGTAATGCCTAACACCAGGAAAACGAGTTTAAGTCACGTCATCGCTTAATATGATGCAAACATTCGCATTAATTATTGGGGACAAAGGCTACCACTCTGTGGCTCTCCAAGCACTGACGTACTTGTACTTGTTGGACCAATGTTCAACCACCCGAACATCATAACTATATTTCAAGCCCTTCAGTCATTGGTAGACTTAAGACCTCAATTTTATGCTCCACGGGTATTGTAACGACTAATCTGTCTCACTTTAATGGCAAATAAGTGAATGTAGCAGTAAATGCTGAATCCAGACATTCGACGATTCATGCTGTAGATACTGAATATTCAAACATTAAGCGATTGATGCTGTAGGCCTGAATGCTAAATATTCAAACATTGGGCGATTAATGCCGTAAATGCTAAATTTGAAAATGAGGTGATTGTTGCTATTAATGTCAAATTCTAAGCTGAACTGTTGCTACAAATGCTACATTCTACCTTGACGGATTGATACTGTGGATACTAAAACTAAACTGAGGTAACCATTACTTAACGTTGCTCACACCTGTCTTTACTTTGGGAAAAATTCGTCCCAAAAACGTGCAATAAATTTGTCCAAATTAAGCAAATGATAAGATCATTTTCATATTAATTGTTGATTGAATCAGCATTCCCTATTTTCAAACTTTTCACGGGGAAGATTTAGATATTGTTCCTTTAGCCTGCATGTTACAGTAAAAGGGGCGAGCTAGCCTCAATGTGTACATGCTACAACTTCAACTGTAGTTGTTCCAGTCACCGATGATACAGAGAAAGCAAATCTAGTCTGACGCGACATAGTTGGTAACATGAAATGATCAAAGGAAAATTCATCGTTCGTTTAATTCAGAACTCCTGTTCAGAATTAAATGAACCCACCTTATTAAACAATGAGTTCACAAACCCTCTATTATGTGAACCATTTTTATTCCAATCCCTGCATTAATTTGAGAGATAATCTTTACAGGTCGCATCATCTAGGATAAGACGTTGGCCTTGCAACTGATGAAAGTTTGGCGAATGCAACAACCGTTTATCGTCCCTGGAGGATTAGAGACTTTAAATGAATAATTTCCACATCCACATCCTTTTCATTTCTTTGAGCAAGATTGCGAGTAATTTTCAATTTGGGTTGTTCTCTCACTGAACGGCAAGACGATACCTCTAAAAATATCGAGCTGGCGAAGGAAGATCGACCTCAAGTGTGGACAGAGTTGGCTCCGTTATCTGGTAACTTCTTCCTCTACAGCTAGCTGCACTATTGGGAGGTTGCAACTGGGGGTACAACTTTATGAACTTGATGTTCATGTCACAAGAGGTGCACTTTTTAGTGCTTAAATGCTACGTGGACTGGAAGTGAGTGATAGTGACAAGTCCTGAGGTCTCCAGGGCTTAGACACCAAGTTAAAGGGACGGGGCTTAGTTTTTGAAAATATCTCTGGAACTTTTCATTAGGATGTGAATAATATTAACACAATTCCCAATAACGCCTGAGTACAAGTCGTTGTCTGCTATACACTTTGAGGTTATTTTAAGTACAGCTCTCTTAAATACGTACCGTAGTCTAACGCTGTGTTAAGTAAACAGTTGGGGAATCATGTGCTTGACGTTTTAAAGACTACACGACGTCCTTTCCACTGAAACATTTATTCCGTGCGGATTACCCCGATGAAAAACTGGATTCGTAAAAGGCTAGGTTAAAATTGGATACATGGGGAAAACAAAATAGACAAAGGAATTACGGTACTTCAAAATCATTTCTTTTCACTTTGATTTGAACCAGTTTAGAAAGATTCACAATGCGAAAGATACGGTTGCCTATGTTGGAAACTAAAAAATATGGTAGCGTTATGCCATTGTTACCATCAAAGGGCGGACTTCATTCTGGTGGTTGTTAATGAGCTAAAACTTTCTAATGTAAATTTATCAGACTTCTCAGTTTCCTGACCCTTTAAGTACATAAGCAATTATACCACGAAAATGACTGCAATAGGGCTAATGCTGACATCCCGTGATTGCTTACCAAGTACAATGCATCGCCACACGAACCATTAGAGACACCTTAATCTTACTACGGCATGAACACATTCCGTTGCTACAAAATACAAGACTTGTTTCCGCTCAGCTAAAAGTGTAACCAACCTTTATATATAGCGCCAGATACCACACAACGACACTTGGCACAATCCTTCAAAATTGAGACTTTCGCCTGAGACAAAGGAAGTCGAGATAAGCAAGATCGATGATGTTTTCACGCCCGAAGAGCTCATTTCTTTTCCATGTGCGGAAGTTACCAATTGGAATAGCGAGGCGAATCCTTCCTTTCTTGTCAACGCCTCAGGGCGCCCCCGTGGTCCAGAAATTGCAGTGCGACGACCCCCTGGCCCAGTTATAGACACAGCTTCCACCTACCCCCTTCAAAGACATTCAGGAAATGGAAGAAATTATTAGACTGTATGGTTTCGGCGAAATATGTCACCCTTGATAAAAAGTATACTATGATTATTTCCGTAAAGTTCCGTACGAATTATGAGAGTGGGATAAAGGCCGTCCATCACAGTGTACAAAGATGCAGGGAAACTCCATTACACAGAAAAGTAAAAGTGACTCTTTTTTTGTTTTATTTTTGTTTCTGCCGGGGGGCTTAAGTCGCATCTTTTATCGCTGATTTGCAGATTATTCATTAAAAGGGCTTCGACCCATTGGACAGACATATTTATCAAATATATCTCTGTAACTACATCGCATTATGCAAAAAGTAAAAGATCATGCATTCTTTTCACTGAATTTAGTGTACTTTACATAGAAAAACGAATTGGTTTAGATGAATCAAGGCATATATAGTATGATTTGGTGGATGTACTGAGCCACCTCTAACACAAACTGGTCATTAACTGTTAGTCCAAAAGATCAGTTCAAGTTTCTTTTGCCGTCACATTCATCTTCAGGCGGGGAAACATAAATTTTTCTGTGAAACAGCAGAGAATGGCCAATATAAGGATAAAGGGAGCAGTGAGACATTTCTTGTAATGAAAGATTCTCAAGAAGAGTACAAAAGCTTGAAAGCCTGAAGAAGTCTCCTGATGGCACTTGAGAGAGATTAAAAAGTTTAAGAAGTAGGATGTAAATCCACAAACAAAATCAAGTAGCACTAACGAAACCCCAAACTACAATCAAATTCATGTTGCATATGGGCTTTAATCAGATCTCACAGGTTGGTAACAGTTCACTGTAACAATATGTGTGTTGAAAACTCGAAAATATACAGTCAGATATTTGTTACAAAGATGGTGACTTGGTCAACCGAAACCCTAACTTATTCTTGGAGAACAGAGAGTCGCAGAGAAATCTAGAATCTCGTCAAGTCTAAACCCTACACATATAGGCCTACAGGAAAAGGGAAGGGGGGTATTATGGGGGCAAATGGCTAACCAAGAGGTGCACTGAACTTGGATGATGTAACGAATAGGAACTCAGTAAACCTCAGTTTCTAAACCTAACACCAATTAGGATACCAATCAGCTACGTCATGACATCTCTGATTAAGAGGTAAAACTAAGCTCTGAGAAACTACAGAACATGGAGGTTTATTTTTAAAAAGGAATATCCTTTAAGGATAGATTCTAGGAAAGAAGTGCGATTTAATGGAGTTATCCTCGAGAGGTCCAGATTACAAAGCTCTTATAAGATCTTCTTTTAAGAAATGTTCTGTCCTTTATTGATGAAAACATTTATTCAACCTGACCGCAGATTTCACACGACTGGGATTTAATAGACAGATAGCACTAGCAGTTCTTTTCCAAACTTAGCTGACCCGTC